ATATATGCCAAAACCCTATTCTAGCTATGTTTCTTCTTATGAGGGCCTCTAGATTAGGGTTCAGGGCTGAGGGTTTAGGCGTTTGGGTTTGAAGTGGCAGTGCTGTTATATAGCCCATCCCAACACACACATTCCTCTGACTATACGAGTTTCCGTAGCCTCTATAGAGGAAACACATGGTTGAAACGGAAAAGATGGCACACGTAGATACTTACTTGTAGGTGTGCATATGATATGTGTACATGCAGAAGCCTTGTTTGTGTACAAATGCATCTAGATGTATGTATGTGTGTGTATATATATATAGAGACATATATACATAGGCATATACATATGCATACACGCACATTTAACCAGGTGGTGTATGCATCGGAAGCCAAGACAAGCAGCGGCATGATCGATAAACAGCACACGTCCCGTCAATGACACAGCCTTCAACCCTCAACCCCCCTAAACCCTAAACCCTAAACCCTAAACCCTAAACCCTAAACCCTAAACCCTGAACCCTAAACCCTAAACCCTAAACCCCTCTCAGGTATCAGCACTGGGCGCACAGTGACCAGGCACGCTCAGCCCTGAAGTCCTGGACCCTCAACCCTGAGCCTCAAGTCCTAAAGTCAAAGTGGGGGCTGCCAGACACCACCGGTATAGGGTTTAGGGTTTAGGGTTTAGGGTTTAGGGTTTTGGGCAAATACATACCGCAAGCCGTCCAAGCTTTGCAGCATTGCAGAACCGCAGATTGAAATGCTTTTGAAGGTGTAGCGTTGAACCGCCAGACACAAGATCGTAGGGACCTTTAGGGGGGGGACTATACTTCCTTAAATATTCCTTAGTAGGTCCTGATTATGGGCATTAAGGCCCCCTACCCCCCTAAGGATCCCTATGACAAGACAGAGAACGAACTCCACGTACCCAGCAGCAAGCATGCAGCACAAACACAGCGCCAGACGGAGCACAATGCCAGTCGCCCAGAATCCCGGGTTTGAGGATTAAGAAGTTGTCTACGATCTGAGGAATATTCCCGAATCTAGGAACAGGCCCTAAAGCCCAGGCTAAAGCCGAGAATTCTGAACCCCACGCCCTACAGAATCTGTAGAACCCATATATCAAGAAACAGGCCCTACACACTAAACACAAAATCCCGGGATTTTGGAGCCTCTGTCAATTACGAGGTTTGAACAATCGGTTAAAATTCTTAGGGCCCCATATAGGCCCTAGACTAGCCCTTTAGAAGGCCGTTGCCGTTATCGAACTCTGTCCAAGCCATACAAAAGCCGTACAGAGCCCTCATGAAGGTCAAACCACATTAAAACATGTTTGAACCATTTATCACGCCGGTGAAGGTGACCTTCAATCAATCGGTCGCTCGCGGCACGCTTTGTGGGGGCGGGTCCCGGCTTCGGGTGTATATAGGGGTTTGCGGTTTGGGCAGAGGTTCTGAGAATTTCGGGCTTAGGGTTTCGGGAGTATAATAGCTCTAAATGAAGCTTGTTCTGACCCTAAACGCTAAACCCTAAATACCCCTAAACCCCAAACGCTAAACCTTAAAACCCCTAAACCTTAAGGCCTAAAAGAAGCTTTTTCTGCAGTCGTCCTCTTCTGGGTCTGGAGCGTGAAGCTGCAGGCGGGGGTTTGAGGGTTTGTCGAAGCAGGGCTCCTCTACTTAGAGGATCATGGGACTTAGTAAGCAAGGTTCCTTAAAGGGCTTCTTAAAGGGATCTATCGGCTTCCTCAGAGGGATCTATAGGGTTGATGGTTTAGGGTCTATTTAGAGGATCATGGGACTTAGTAAGTAGGTTATAATTGGGGTTATAAGTCCCCAAAGTGGGGTTATCCGAACTCTAACCTACTTACAACCTTACTTACTCAGTCCCATGAGCCTTCAAGTATTGGACTGCGGTCCGTAAATTAGGGTTAAGGAATTGGGGTGTAGGGGTTTAGGGTGTGAGGTTTGAGCAATCTGGCAACTTGAGAACAGCCTAAACCGTAAAACCCTAAACCCCAAACCCCTAAAGAACAAAACCTACACCCCAAACACCAAATCCTAAAGAATCAAGCCTAAACCTTGAGAACCTAAACCCCCCAAACGCCTAAAGAACAGAACCTAAACCCTGAACACCAAATCCTAAAGACTAAAGCTTAAACCAACAAAACCCAAACCCCAAACCCTCAACCCCTATAGATCTCTTAAAGGAGCACTTAAAGGAACCCTAAAGCCCCAAAATGGAACCCATGCCTCGACAGGAGCCCAACGGCGCGAAAGATCCCACAAGCGCCAGCCGCGATCTCAGACCTTCGGGGGAACATACGTGACAAGGGCCTTATTAGTGAAGTTTAGGGGTTTAGGGTTTAGGGGCCAGATTAATTACCCATAATACTCTTCTGGCATGTGCTTTCGGATGTTTTTTAATTTCGCTGGGTTGGGCTTATGTACTCAGTGTCAGAGAGCATGGCTCGTGCGCAAGGATGACACACTTGAACACTGAACACCCTAAACACCTAAAAACCACGCCAAACACCTTAAACACCACTCACCACCCTAAACCACCCTAAACAACCCTAAACACCACCCTAAACAACCCTGAACACCACCCTAAACAACCCTGAACACCACCCTAAACACCGCCCTAAACACCACCCTAAACACCACCCTTAACACTCTAAGCCCTAATACTCTCACCCGTCCCGTCCTTTTGGCCGCCTCGACGACGACGAGCTCTTCAGTGTCACCGCAGCGGGCCGAGGGACTGGGTTTTGGTTAGGGTTTAGGGTTGTTAGAATAATACCCCCCACCCCTGGCTTATTCCTACTACTACTACTACTACCACCACCACCACCACTACTACTACTACTACTACTACTACAACTACTATTCTGATTCTACTACTACTACTACTACTACTACTACTACTACTACTACTACTACTACTACTACTACTACTACTACTACTGCTACTAATTCTACTAATACTAAACTACCACTACTACCACTACTGCTACTACTTGTACTACTACTACTGCTGCTACCACTACTGCTACTATTATTACTACTACTACTACTACTACTACTACTACTACTACTACTACTACTACTACTACTACTACTACTATGACGACGACCACGATTACGACGACTACTACGACGATTACGACGACTACTACTACTGCTGCTGTTGCTACTAGTAATTATTACTACGACGACACCTAAGACCACTGCCGCTATGACGACTACTATATTGCCGCTAGTGGCGCTTCTTTTGGGAGCACTCGTACTTATTTTACGATGTGCCACTCACTGTTGGTAACACGTATGGAAGGTCGTAGCCGTAGTGACTGGTTCTATCAACATAAGACGGTATAGCCTAGCATTTCGCAATCAGTTATTGATTCTGATGCATACTGGAGGGACCGATCCTGGTACTTCCAAGGTGTGCCTCAATACTACTTTATGGAGGGACCGATCCTGGTACTTCCAATAAAATCCTAGCCAGAATCAATATCAACATCTATTCTATTGGAAGGGCCGATCCTGGCACTTCCTTATTACATAATGGAGGGGCCGATCCTGGCACTTCCTTATTACATAATGGAGGGGCCGATCCTGGCACTTCCTTATTACATAATGGAGGGCCCGATCCTGGGACTTCCACTAACTAGCATGGAGGGCCCGATCCTGGGACTTCCACTAACTAGCATGGAGGGCCCGATCCTGGGACTTCCATTAACTAACACGGAGGGCCCGATCCTGGGACTTCCTTCTATTTCCCCCCGGCCCCCCCGCGGTAGCGCTCGCGAATTTTTTCTGGCGCTTTTTCCTTCCTCTAGTGGGGTAGCCCCCCGGCGGTAGCGCTCGCGAATTTTTTTTGGTGATGTTTCTTGTAGCCCCCCCGCCCCGGTCCCCCCCCCGCGGTAGCGCTCGCGAATTTTTTATGGCGCCTTCTCCTTCCTCTAGTGGGGTAGCCCCCCAGCGGTAGCGCTCGTGAATTTTTCCTGGCTAGCCCGGTGTCTTTACTACTACTGTAGCCCCGCTGACAGGTTAGTATAATATTAAAAGCATATAATGCATAGTCGGGGTGATGGGCTTCGGGGTTTGGGCTTCGGACTTCGGTTTTTCTGGATGGGGGATCTGTGCTTTCTTTTGCCTCGGACTGCGCTCTTTCAGTGTCCTGTAGCCTGTTGCTTTGTTGATTCTGCCGAGGCCTGGACCGACGATCTTCGCCGGCGGCGGCGTGCAGCAGGAGGAGGCGTGAGAAGAGCTGGTTGGGCTGCCATTGGAACTTCAAGACTTGCTTAGGTTTTGGCCTTTGTCCGATGTGTGTCAAGGGCTGCCTGTGCTGTGGTTGAAGATCGGCTCAGGCCCTCGCCGCTCTTCAGTGTCATCGCCGGCAGCTGCGGCACGTGGAGAAGGCTTGATTGATTTGGGGTTTCAAGTGTGGGCTTGGACTTTAGGGTTCGAGTCGGTTTTGGTTGAGGTTTGGGCTTGTCTGTGGATTCGGTTTGGGGCTTAGTGCGAGGTCTCCGGGTGGGTTCCTTTGCCTCCTGCGTGGTCTTAACTTAGGTTCCTGGGAAGTAATACTAAATACTCCTTACGGCCCACACCAACCCTAACTATTAGCAGTCTAGAAGTTGCTTGCGGGATTCGGGTGCGACTGGGGTCCCAATTGTAACTATCTCCAAGCAGCCCAACTAAATTATCAGACGTAAGCGCCCTTAGACCCCAACGGTTGCTCATTGTCTGCAGTGGGCTCAATATATTGGCATTGGTCGTCCGGTGCATGGTAGCATCCCAACACATTTCTATCCTTGACCCATGGCCCAACAGACACACACACACACACACACACACTCACTCACTCACTCACTCACTCACTCACTCACTCACTCACTCACTCACTCAGTGTCACTCACTCACTCAATCAGTCTCACTGACTAACTCATTCGGTCCCTCATTTCAACTTGGTGCCGTCACTGTGCATTGCAGTGTCATTCGTCGGCCTTTCATGTCGGAGCCGCCCAAGAAGAAGAAGAAGGGCGGTGGAAGCGGGGCCAAGCAGACGCGCATCGAGAACTACAGGGCGAAGCAGAGTGGGCTGCAGGCTGTGCGCGATGGCAAGGCTTCAGTGTCAATGCTTCCGCTGAAGAGCAAGTCGCCGGCAGTTCCAGATCCAGCAGCAGAGGCGAAGGCGCCAGTGTCACCGGCACCGCCGAAGGCGCCAGTGGCAGCTCCAAAGGCGTCAGTGTCACCTCCGAAGGCTGCTGCTTCGTCTTCTGGGGCCTCGCCTGGGCCAGTGTCAGCGGCGGCTGCTGCGGTGCCGATCTGCTGCCCGGCTGGTGGCTTTTGTCAAGTGGTTCTTTTTGTGCTTCTACATTAAATTAGGCTGGTGTTGTTCTGGGGCTTCGCTTTAAAGCTGGATGATAGGTCCGCCTCCAGAGCGAAAGCGCCCAGTGTCATCGTCATCTTCGTCGAGCAGCTCATCCTCCTCTGCCAGTGTCACACCACTTGAGACTCGAGCGATGAGGATCTTGGAGCGGACAATTCCACTGGCCGTGAAAAGCATCGCCACGGCGACGGCGAAAGCAGCATCCGCGCCTCCACTTGCTTTGGCAGGGTTTAGGGTTCTAGTCTATTGTTTGTAGACATTATGAAGGGGGTATTTGTCACCCTAGTGGCCAAACCCAGGCTGCAACGGCCGCGGCTCAGGCGAGTGCTCACGAGGCAAAGTCTAAGGCGGCCGAAGCCAAAGCCAAGGCGAAGCAGCTTCAGATCCAGCGGGAAACGCAGCGGGAGGCATTGGCAAAGGCTGCAGTTTGGTCGGAGATCCAGGGCTACGAGCTTGGCTTTGCAGATGGCTCCAGGGTCACTTCCTCATCGTCCAAGGATGGCTCCAGCTGCAAACCTGCGAGCTCAGCTGCTTCCAGTGTCATCCCGGCTCCGCCGAAATCTGCTTCCAGTGTCATCCCGGCTCCGCCGAAATCTGCTTCCAGTGTCAGCCCGGCTCCGCCGAAATCTGGTGACAGTGTCAAGGCCAAAGCCGTGAAAGCGACACCTGCAGCGGCCAAGAAGTCCTCGCCTGCCAAAGGCAGCCGCCGCTAGCGATCAGTGTCAATGGAGTGCATGGAAAAAAGGCGAGCATCGCCTCCAGTGTCAAGCTTCGGGGGCCCAATAGGAGTGAGCATTGTTTTGTACTGTGCGAGGTTGAAGCTTATCATTCACTTCTAATCGAACAGGAAAGAAACCTGGGGGATGTAATGGGAATTTCGGCTTCAGGGTTTCAGGGCTGTAGGATTTAGACGCGTTTTTTGGGTGCAGGGTTCAGCATTAGGGATTCTAAAAGGTTTTCTTTAAGGAATGTTTACACTGTAAACAAACTTAACTTTTCGGTGTCAAGAACACTAGAAACCCTTGGCCCCATCCGCTAAAAAACCCAGCTGTAAATAAGCTGAATAAGAAGCCCCGCCCTTTGACAGGCGTCTTCCCTTTCGGCGCCAAGCAGCGTGTTCGGTGCCCAGTGTCAGCGTTCGCTCAGCTCCGGGTCGCTGTTTGGCACGAGGTTCACAGGTATTGGGGTCTAGTTGTTTTGCCGGTCGCAACATGATGTGCAGCTGGTCATTGTCAAATAGTAGATTCGCTTTCTCCGAGGCCGCGAACTTCGCAGGAAGCCCGCGGTGCAAGTGTCAGAGGTGCTCCCCCCTTTGCCTGCATGCCTTCAGCTGTCAAGATTTCGCAGGAGCGCCTGTTACTGACTGTCATGGTGTCATGTGTGCATTGGCATTGTCAAGTTGGCAGCTGGGCATGTGTGAATCCCGCAACATTTACAGACGAGGATGATCATGCGCATCATGCAGGAGGATCATTCGCAGCATGCTTCTGGAATCCCGAGGTGCAGGCTAGAGGCTTATGCTTGGGTGCCGTTCGGGGCTTGTTTGCAACACAGCCTCAGGCCATTGAAGCAGTACACAGACACCTAAGCAAATCCAACTTCGCAGTGTCATATGGCCCGCGAGTCAGTGTCACTGCAATACTTGCCACCGAACTTGGAGCGCGTGGCGAGGGAGAAGCTGGATCGTGGGGCGCAGCAGGCCGCTCCACAGCACTAGGCTCACTAGGCGAAGCTGTTGATTGAAGGATTAGTGGTAGTGCCTGCGCGTGCCGAAGAGTGACGCACCAATCAGGTGACCTTTTTGCTCTTCACCGTCGACAAAGACGCGGCTTGCGACATCATCCGCCAGATCGACACCGATAGTGAGATTCGCAAGCCGTCCGCCTGGGTCACCACAAGTGCCCTAAGGGTACTGCGTCAGTTCCTTTGGTAACATTTGGGAAACTTTAAAACAACTGTCTCTATGATTCCTGTAGAGGTATCTATTCCTGAATACTTTTAAGGCCCCTTCGATCTGAGGCTTGCTCGAGACAGAGGACACCCTGCCGATGACTTTGGGCAGGACTGGTGGCGGCGACCAGGGTGGTGAGCCAGACACGCCGCCTGAAGTTACAGTGTCAGGCGAAGATCAGCCAACAGATCCATCAGAAGATCCACCACCTCAGCCTGGACCTACAGCAGCCCCCACAGTGTCACAGGATCCACCGGCAGCTACAGTGTCAAAGCAAGATCCGCCGCCTGAGCCTGGACATCCGCCACGTGAGCCTCGACCTACACCAGTGTCACGAGAAGATCCACCACCTCAGCCAGCAGCCCCAACAGTGTCACAGGATCCACCGGCAGAAGACTGGCCAGGCTGGCAGAACTGGCAGGGATGGCGAGGTGGCTGGCCGAGTGAGGGCCGTCGTCAGTGGGCTTGGCAGGCGTCTGGCCAGACGACATGGACACAGACGACGTGGACTCAGCAGCAATGGCAAGCACCAAGCTCGTCAACAGACATGATGCCGGCACGTCCACCAGTGTCAAATCGGCGGCAGAAGCCGGATCATGCCAACCAGGTGTTCAATGTCGTCGCCGAAATGTGCAGAGACTTGAATCTGGGAGCGGATGCGCAGAGGGCGGTGAAGACCTTACTTGACTTCAACCGCGATGGGCGGTTGCGCCTCTGCCTGATCTTATTTCAGGCCAACCAGGCCAGGGCGACACAGTCGCACCGCTCGCTCGACGCGTGGGTTCTGGCGCGTGTGAATGAATCCATCGAGTTCCTGAGGAGCCAGTCTCAGTAGCCAGGGTCCTCTGCTGTCAGTGTCAAGTGGCATTGTACATTAAAAAATAAAAGGACTTGCTGAGCAATTCAATAGTGCCAGTCCTTCTTCCAAGCAGCTGACAGTGTGGAGAGGCCATTTTGCACTTTAGCCGCCGAACTCTCACACAGTGTCAGCACGTATTACTCAGGATGCAAAATTCGTGCGGTTGCTTCTTAGTTGTGCTTCTGCCTTGTGTCGCGTGTGCTTCTAGAGTTCATGACATATGCTTTGCCATCGCAGGTGCCGGTCTCTTCAGTGCCCTTCGAAGAGGCGGGCGGATCTGAGGCCTTCCTGTCAGTCGGCTCTGAAGCCCTTGCAGTCTGTGGTTCGTGAGTGACTGCCTGGATTTCAGCTGCGGTGTTTTCTTTGTGTTTCTGTGGCCGCAGGTTTGCGCCCCTTCCAGAAAAAGCAGTGTCAGTGCGGTTCTCAGATGGAGCTCTCTGTCATCTGCTGTGGCTTTCTTGGGAGCCGTGAGTGATTAGATCGAGCACAGTTTTCTGCAGCTGCGGTGAGTTCGGAGATGATGGTAGTTCTCTGAAGCGGTCACGTCCTTCTTCTCTGGTCCCAGGTGTGTGACGGCGTGACCCTTCCATGCAGAGCTTCGTGTGCTACTCTCAGATGGTGTGTTCTGCAGGCTTCCGCTTTCATATCTCGCGAAAATGCGTAAGGAAGGGTTTTGATGCATTCAAGCCGTCGAGGCTATCAGATCTGATACCTGGTCATCAGAAACATCACCCGCATTATTCGCAACACAAGAAGTCTAGGTGGAGGGTTGCCCTGCTAAATATGACAATCGCTACAAGGGCATTGTAACTGCATTGAACCATGGCTACATCAGTGTCATTCATAGCAGACCGAGCAGACATCCCAGACCCGACTGTTCAGTGTCATTTGTGCGTCCGCCATGGCTGGTTGGCTTTGCAAGCAGTGTCAGGAGGTGAGGACTTTCAGACGACCTCCTGGTAACCTGTGCTTTGGATGCAGGACGACGAAGCGCGGGAAGCACAACAAGAAGAAGGCCGGCACCAGTGTCACCAAGCACGACACGCCGCCAAGGCCGACCAAGACCCTCGTTTCGACGTCAGTGTCAAGGTCAAGGCCGAGGAAGACTTCGACGAAGGCAGTGTCCTCGATGGAAGCCCCAGCGTCATCAGGTGCAGCGCCAGTGTCATCATGTGTTTACACAAAGATGAAAGAGGCCTTGAGCAAGGAGTGTCATCAAGCGTTGGTGCCAGCCTTGGGGATGACTGATGCTTTTTTGGCCGTGGCCCAGGCCATGACCATCGTTGATCGCTACCAGCAGTCTCAGCTTGCTTTGCCTGGGTGCCATAGGAGCCTTGTGAGTTTCGCAATGGCAATGTCACCCATTGCAGATGAAGACGAAAAGCGCAAGCTGTATCTGGCGCATGTAAGTGTCAAAGGCAGTGTCAGTGTCGAGCAGATCCGCAGACGAGAGTGCATGTGGGCCATGACACTACCGTTTAAAAACAGTGTCACGGACCCCTCGTGAGCACGGAAATCTTCCTGGTCATTGATTGTTATTCTGTCGCATCGTCAGATTCCGCTTTATTTGAGGCTCCTTTTCAAGCCTCTGGTGCGGAGAACCTGCACCACGTCTACGCACAGGTGCGCCGGTTGCCTCCTTGCAGCAAGTGCTTGCTAGAGAGGCCAAGACAGCTAGCACAGAGCTCTGAATCATTTAACCCGTAAGCTCTGTAATCTCATGTCCACTGAACTACGTAAGCTCCCGTCCTGCCATTCAAGCTTGCAAAGACAAGGTAGCACAACCGTCGCAGCCAAACCCAGTGTCAGAGGTCGCGAGCCCCGTGCATTTGCCGGCTGTTGGGGGAATTCGCGACGTCCACGAACAGGTGCGCCCACGCCCTTGCCAAGTCTCTGTGTTGTGTGCTGCGGAACACTGCATTTCGACAGAAGCCTGCAAGTCGCTATTATAGCTGCGTGGTTGTGCAAACTTAGAGTTAGAGGTGATAATTCTCGTGCCCGCCGATACATCAATGCCACAGGGGCCCAGACAGCTCTTGCAGAGTGCTTTGAATTGTCAGTCTTTACTCTCTGGAAGCACGTATCTTCGACACTGTCGCATTGTGTGAGCAAACGTAAGCTAGGATGTCTTCACTTGTCATTGTGCCAGGATACAGTAACCAGGATCAGTATTCCAACACAGGGTCTGCATTCATGGTGAAGCTGTCGGATGCGTATGGCGGTGCGCAACCTGGTAGTAGCAAACTCGCGGAAGCTTACTCTGGAAAGAGAAAGCAGTGTGGAGATGAACGTGCCACATCTTCAAAAGAAACTTCCAGTGTCACCGTCAAGGGTCGCAAGCCCCGCTTATCTACAGGGAGCACCTGTCCATGTCACAAGAGCTTCGACCGTACGTGCCCCCAGTGCGTCTTTGGGCGGCACGCACAGACTTGGAAGGAGACACATGGCTCAGTCATGGTGAAGAAGGGCGCCCAGAAAGTACGAGTGGTTTGGTTACAAGCCCGAGTCAGTGCCAGCGGCAAGTGGGGCATGGGATGTGCCCTGTGTTCGCGTTTGCGCGAAAAGATCTTGCAGGAGGGGTCACCTCGCTGCCGGCGGCAAGCGAGGAAATGGGACTGCAAGTGGGGGCGCTTCGAGATAAGCAGCCTATCCCAGTGTCAAGCAGCAGCGCTGAGCAACCATGCGATGTCCCAGTGTCATCGAGCTGCCATCAAGTTCTTGGAAGATCCCTCTGCCCCTCTGGAGGTCTTAGTCCAGCCGGAAGCATCTGACGAGGCCTTGCTGCATGGCCACGTGCCGCAGCCCGAGGATTGGTTGAAGGCCTTCTGTTTGGTCCGAAACCCTGTCAGTTTCCTCAAGGGCGAGAAGCAGTCCGAAAATGATTCTTACATTGCCATTCGAAAATGCAAGGTCACGAGATTCAGCATGAAAAACCTGGTCAGTGTCATGGCGGAAATTGTTCGCAGGCAGAAGCGGGCATGGATTGAGAAGGCCAGCCACATCTGTGTCGCTGTGGACGACAAAGCACCCTACCGGCTGCTGCGGTTTCGTGCGAGTTTCCAAGCGCAAGACGCCCAGGAAGAAGAGCCCATCGCTCGTGAAGGAGTGCTGGCTCTTTTAAGACACGGCACTGACAGTGTCAGTGCCATGGATGTCAGGGAATTGGACGAGGACTACTCCGCCCGCGTGGCCGAGTCAGTGTCAAAGGCCATCGAGCGACTGGCAACACCACTGGGCTCGGACGAGCCCAACGAGGCTTGCGTTGCTGCCTTTCGCAGCCACCTCTGGACAGTGGCCTCAGACGGCCACCGGGCCAACGGGAAGTGCGTTGCCATCCTTCAGCGCTCCTTTGTCAACGTCAAAGTCCTGTTCTTGGACCGTGCGCATCAGATTAGAAGGGCAGCCCTGCCAGTGTCACTCCAACAGACTTTTCAAGAATATTGGGATGACATTTTCGGAAGTGTCGGTGTCAAACATGCACTGGTGCCCGACCTGCAGAACAGCGACCAATGGAAACTTCGCTTTGCGCTTCTCCAGAAAGAGCTCAGTGTCATGCACGGTGCGCTCCCGGCAAACTTCAATCGGGCCAGTGTCACGTTGTCGTACGCGAGACAGCGATTCGACAGCGCATCGTGCCCTGCGGCGAAGTTCGTCCTCTTCATGCTGCCCCTGGCGCTGCTGCTCGCGTATCAGGCGGCGGATGAGCGGTTGCAGCGCAGTGTCAGGGTCAGAAGTCAGTGTCTCTTGGAGCGCCTGACTGGGGACCGCGCACTCGTCGCGGGCCTCTCGGCAGACTTCGGGAACGAGGTCCTTGCTTCTGGGTTGTCTTTTGGTACATCTTTTTAATTTCCCTTAACTATTTTCTAGAGAACCATAATACTAAACAGTGTTCAAAGGGTTTAAATGACAACTCAGGCTTTCGTGCGCTCCCACGACATCAAGGACCACGACCCGTCCCGGAGTCTCCAAGAGACGAAGGACAGGTTCGTCGCCCGGCTGGAGGCTTTATTCCTCCAGGCGATGATCCTTTCCGAGAACCCGGGGGAGGCAAGGGTGGCTGCATAAGTCTACTAAGCTGAGGGACTTTCGCAGTTACGAGGCAGCTGCGTGTTTTTGTAAGCGTGGTTGGAGCAAAACCGCTTATAATAATAGGGTCAAGTTGCCCCTTGTCAGGACGAGCAGTGTCAAAGCTACTCGGTGCGGGCCGTACGAACGGCGATGGAAGCCGGGCCGATTCAATATGGGGACCGCCTTCACACATTATGGTCGCCAGTCACCAAGACGCGCTGCACCGAAATCATGGGGGCCCTCCAGTCCTGCGTGAATGCAACAGTGTCCCGCCTGAACGTGGATATCAATCCACGTGACCTTCAGTGTTGCTTTGCAGCATTCAACTTGGAGGCGTGGTGGCCAGCTAAGCAGAGTTTGGAGGCTGGTGACACAGCACCTTGGGAGCGGTGTCAAGCAAGGTTGGTCCCTTGCTTCCGTTTGCTTTGCAAGGCTGCGGCGCAGGATGTGCGCCAAGGCGCTTTGGAGTTTGAGGCTGCGCTTGCCGAGCTTTTGACAGTGTCAACCATGGAGCAAGTCCTGAAGCAGCAGGATTCCAGGCTAGCCTGGCGGCGAGTCCTCGGGTATGGCGCTGCTTTGAGGGCTTGTGGAGGGCGCTTCCCGGTGCTCAGTGTCATCGTGTCCTGGTACATCAGTGTCATTGATGGCGAGTGTCAGGTGGAACGGGATTTGGCCATCCTGAAGAGCCTTCTGTCTGAGCACAGAGGAAGCCTGGACATCGACAGTGTCACACTGTCAGACCTGTTGGAAATGAGGTTGGATGGGCCGCAGTGTCAGGAGGAGATCGCATCCCAGGTGGTCTTCGAGGATGTGGTCGGTCCTGGCACTGCGGCCCATCCAACTGGAGGTGTCCTTCAGATGACACCCTTCACCCGACAGTGTCAAGCTCTGTTCATTGAGCGGCACGGGCGACGTTTCCGCTGCTACAGTGTCAGGGCGGACAAAGGGCAGCCGCGGCAGAAGCGCAAGGACAGTGTCATCAGCTGGAAGCGCTCGCAACGGCAGGCTGTGAACGCCTTGGTGAAGCACTACCAGGAGGACCCGAGCTCCTTGCAGACGACTTGCCTTGGTGCTGGCTTCGAACGAAAAAAATTTGTTCAGAAGCCGAACCAGAAAGGTTCCAAGAACCCTGCGTGGGACAAGAATCTGGCCAAGTTTCACAAAACGACCATGGCCAGAGAGAAGGCCAACCTGGCTGCTCGTGAGAGGTTGCTGAAAGGCTTGCCCGCTGCTCAGCCGGCTCTCCGGCCTGGAAACCTTTTCAAGGCAAAGCCTGGGCGAAGCAACAGTGACTTCATACCTCTTGATCCATCTGCAGTGGTGCTCGATGTCACGGCCGAGGGCATGGAGTCACCGCCCCTCCGAGACCAGATCACGCGTCCAGCTCGGCCCGACTCAGTGTCGCTCCCAGAGCTTTTGAAAGCCAAAGTTGTGGTGGTAGACGATGTGCTGGCAGTGGAGCAGATGAGGACAGGAATGCACCTCGGCCACTTTGGGAACTTACTGTCTATTCACAGTTCTTCTTTTGCGAATAGACCCGAGTGATGTTTCAATTCCTGTCGAAGTTTGTTTGTGACTTTGTTATACTAGGCCTGGCCACCTTCTGCTGTACGTCACTATCGTGGCAGCCGGCTTGGGCATTGTATCTGCAAAAGAATGGGCTGCCAGCACGAGGCTTTTTCGTATCCGCCATTACAAGCCTTCTGCTTTCAGTGTCAAAGTCAATGTCCACATGACGGACGCATTCTGGGAGGATTCCCGTAGCGTAGCGAAGCTCATCAAGCATTTCTGCCAGCGCAAGAACAGTGTCTGGAATCTGACAGACGCTGAAGAAGCGCACTGCACAGTCACTGATTTGAGGAGTTTGCACGGCTTCCTCAGCAGTGTCCGTAGGATGTCTCGGGACCATGCCCCTGGCACTCAAAAAGGTGCTGGCTCCGGCTGGCACTTGGGGATGGGTTCTCAGTTGCTTCGGTGAGAGATTGGTTTCTACATCAAAGTCCGAATCTGTGTTTGTAAGCCACGGTTGCAGACAGTCCTCCTTGACGGAAAGTCATAATATATATGTATATATGTATGTTTATCACATTTGCAAATTTGCAAACCGAAGCTCTGGGATCCCAGGGCTTATTCAAGGCCCGGCTTTTCATGGACGTTGTTTCGCACTGGAGCGAGGGGCTTTCCGCGGGGAGAGGAAGAAAGGAGGCGTTCTTCCCCGGGCACAGTCTTGCATGAGCGACATTGACAGTCGGTTTATGACCATTGCTCGGCTGCGCAGGTCATCTCTTCCCATCATTTTCGAGATCACGCCGAGACAGCCGCGGCCTTGGAGCTAACAAGGTATTTACCCTGTGGCAGCAGGGGGTCCAATACGGTAGCCGACTTGCGCAAGTCGACCACCGTATTGGACCCCGATCCGGTAGAGCTTGAATACCATGCAAGATCTGTGGCAGTAAAGCAACGTATTGCATGTCCATTGCATGGTGTCCCAATACCCTAGCCGACTTGCGCAAGTCGGCCACCGTATTGGCCCCCCTCGGTTTTGCTATCCTGAAGTGACAGCCTGCCCTGCTCCTCCGGCCATGGCGAAAAAGGCGGGCAACAAAGATTCCAAGCCGAAGGACCCATTCAGTCAGACGAAGGTGTTGACCTCAGAATCTCCAGTGTCCGAAGTGCCAGCGCCTACACCCTCCAAAGCGGCGCCAATGCCGATGTCAGCTCCCCCTGCAGTGGCTTAGCTAGCATTGCAGTTGGCTGTGGAGACCGCCGTGTTGAATTTGTTGAAGCCTAGAGACCTTGGCACCCCAAAGACTTCAGGTTGATGTGGTCCCGACTTCAAAGCCATCGGCGCCGGCGGCACCCATGGAGGCCCCGATGAAGACGTTTCCTGTCCTGCCTCCTTGGGACAACGCCAGTAAGCAGATTGGCTGCTTGAAGATCATGAAGGAGGTGGTGCAGTATGCGCCTTTGCCTTCTTGGGCATATTCTTATTGGGCCGGGATTTAAGTTCAGGCGGCTGTGTTGCACACTTCTAGTGTCGCGAGGCTTCGGGGCATGAGACCAGACTTCGGCATACAACAGCACAGCAGCGAGCTTCAAGTCGAATTTGGCGGAAGGAGGTTCCAGCAACATACATAATCAGAAGTATTCTGCTATTGAACCTATCATGTTGACTGAAGACATACATATGTCTGTGCCGATGCTGTGCCGTCAGTTTCAATACCGGTGCTTGCTTCTCTGAAGTCGGTTTCCCTTCACGCGTGGCCTCATCTCCTGCTGAATCTGTTCCCCGTTTAGCACACTGCAGGTGCACCAGGAGCTCCCGCGCTTTCTCAAGAACATTGACAGTGTCAAGGCAAAGGGTCAGTGCGAGCTCAAGGACATTGCCCCACTGACCATCCCAACACTGTCAGAAAAGTTGCAGGGAAACTTTCGTGAGCAGTGGCGGCCGGAGAATTGCCAGCGCTCTATTCAGAGCTCTAGCATGTACGAGGCGGGGGGCTCCTTATTCTGGTTAGAGCCCATTGTCAGTCTTGGCGGCTGGACAAGCGGCGAGGCCATGCTTGAGGAACCCTCGTGGTGGGATGTGTATCACGCGATCAGTGTCACGTGTCCGGAGGATATCAGTGTCAAGGAGCGCTTGTACTTCGGGGACCCCTTTCTGACCTTCACAACAGTGTCACCCGACGGCGTTCGCTTTCCCGCCAACCTCAGGGTCATGAGGGGCCTGGTCCTGGTGCACGCCTGGTATGTCACCATGCTGAAGGCCATCCAGTGTCAGAATCTGGAGCGCATCGAGGCCCTCAGCATCATGGCGCTGACAGTGTCAGTCCGCGTGTACCATGACCAGAAGGACAAGTTAGTGTCGTTCTTCGTGCTCAAGTCGCTGCAGAACTCTGAGAAATCCAAAGTCGCCAGTGTCTGCGACAGCCACTTGCCTGAGCATGGCTGTCCTGTTTGGTCTCGTTTTTTTACTTGTCAGTGTCGCCCCCCGTAAGGTTTTCAGATGTGGGCCAAGAAGCTGTGCCTCCTGCTGAAGGAGATCCCGCAGTGCACACAGCCGAAGCTTCTGGCTCTCTTGCAGCAGAAAGGCCTGAAGTACAATGGGTCCAATATCAACAAAACCATGATGCAAGCAGCGACAGCGCTCAACGCCCTGTTGAGTGACAGGGCTAACGAAATCCTCCTCAGTGTCCAGCGGGAGTACGGCAGGGACGTCTGGAGCAGCGGCTACAACAAGATCTCCAGAGTCGTTCAGCTCGTGACCAAGCAGGTCACACTGTGGAATTTGCCCGAGGACAGCGGTGTCAATGTCCAGTTTGTTTTCGAGTTCGTCCTCGAGTACAGCCTCATGACCCTTCGCCGCGGAAATGCCGGTGCCAAGTTCTTCAATTCCACCAACATCGAAAATGGGGAGAACGGTGGCTGGACGGCTGCCACGTGCGTGAAAGCGTTTCTGGCTCACCACCTCCTGCGACTTGCCACGTCCGCAGCCGAGAAAGAAGCCGAGTTGATGAAGGCGGCCACAGCAAACGACAAGGACAACAAGGAGGACAAGGACGACAAGGACGACAATGTCAAGGACATCCCGCGGCCGAAGAAGGACACCAAGGAAGCGTTGGAAAAGGTGTGGTGCCCGCTGAAGTACGACTACAACAATCCGAAGCCGGCCAATGCTGAGGGTCAGGAGGAAGAGGCGGGGCCAGTGTCACAGGAGGCCGAGGAGGACCTGGATGACGAGGAGATGGACTATCTCAAGGAGGTGACTGGCTGTTTGCCAAAGTCCGGCAAGTTGGCCGTGGAACTTGTGCGCGACCTCTTCGAGGCGGAGCACGAGGCCAGTGTCAAGAAGCTCGTCATGGAGGTTGACCCGGCGAAATGCTTGATGGAATGCCAGGAGAGCAAGAACGAGTTGGCAAAGGCCTTTAAGGCCAGCGTCATGGGAATGATGAGCGGCATGACTCCAGTCTCATCGGGTGCCCCGCCAGTGTCATTGCGGACGCTCGTGCGGAGAGCGTCCAATCCGGACGAGGAAGACAGCCGCAAGGAGCAGGAGCGGCAGAAGATCTGGGCACAAGCGCAGGCTTTGCGTAAGAAAAAAGCCCAACTGGCGCTCTGGTCGGCCAAAACCACTGACAGTCTTCGTGGCTTGCTCGACAAGATGTCGGGCGTGGCCCAGTTCGAGAAGGGCGCTATCAACGAGTGTCACCGACTGTGGGTGATCTCTGCGGACCTCGCCCACGAGGCCCCAGGAAGCTGGAATCGCGCTCCGGCGCTGAAGGATGACACTTTGAAGAACGTTTTCGAGTGTCTCGCAAAGTTTCCTATGAAGGAGTTCGATATGCTCGTGGCCTTCGATGGATGCGTGCCGGAGAATAAGGCGACCCTCCGTGGTGGCATGGAGGACGACGGCAAATTGCTTGAGTTCATCATTTTGTTCAACGACCGGCCCCGTCAGTGTCGCCAACGCAAGATCTTTTGCGGGTCGGCGAGGGTTGAAGCTGCCACGATGAAATTGTGGACGCCCAGGGTGAGAATCAGTGTCACTGAGAGGTCGGACGACTTCGTGCCACCCGCAGCTTCAGAGACGAAAACCAAGAAGAAGACTAGGAAGCAGACGACCCACGACTTGAACAGTGTCGGAGTCCCGCCTGCCGCTGGAAGACCTCTCATCAACGGCGTTGACAAGGCCAAAATCTTTGAGTGCAACGAGCCCGACGGATTCAGAGGCTCTGCTTGCCCCATCTTCTGGGCAGAGACAAAGCCAGTGTCATACTGGCAGACGCTGCTGAGCTCCTTGCAGGTTGGGCAGGTGATAGATCTCACGCCGGGAAGCGGCGCACTCGCCGAAGCTTGCCTCCTGGACGATGTGCCGTATGCCGGCATCCTCCGGGACCAGATCCACTACAGCTGGCTGGTCAATGTCTTGGACCGTCAGTGTCTGAAACTCCTCGCAGACAGAGCCTTGGACCGCAAGCCATGGTCATGCGCATATCCGTTGCGTCGTCTCAATTAGTACCGTTTCCTAATAAATGTACCAGAGGCGAGAGCAATCTGTATGACGAGAACCTTTCGGCGCTGATCACTGAGCATTTTGCCGACGTTTTGTCTGAGCTCAACGAAGCAGAGCTGGAGGCCGAGGATGAGGACTCCGACGAGTGACAAGCTTAGGCAAAGTACATTTTGACGGGTTCGCGTCGTGCCTTCAACTGCTGATGGGTGGAATTCAGTTCAGTGTAGGCCTAAAACTCAAGACTGGCAAGCCGCAAGCAATGCCTTTATCCTTCGTACCTATATAGAGTAATTGTCCAGCGCATACGTTCGAATACGCAGTGTCAGCAAGGCAGACGAAAGCTCTGTAGTTTGAGAAATGGACATAGCAAACACTCGCTGGGGTACGGAGAGTCCCACTCAACCTACTTACAGATCAATTCCAACGTGGCTGCTCCAGCGGTTTTGTCGCTTTGCGCCTGTGGTCCATTCACTAAACGACATTCTCTGACAAGGCTTCTCCCAAGGAGTGCATAGGGCTCCAGAATCAGAGTGACTTTGTTTTTGTCTGGTATCGACAAAATTACTAGGGTAACAACACTCAATCATCGTTACAGCTCTTCAGAAATCAATCCTGGAGGGGGCTTGTCAGGGGCCAGTGTCACATGATTGCTTTCCTCGGGAAGCTTGGTTGGAGTGACCAAAAAATGATGTCTGCCATGCAAGCGCTTGTCATTCCCGCCAGTGCTTGACAGCAGTCATACAACTGATCTGTGCAAGCTCTCAGTCAGACGGCAATTAGAAATTGGGGACTGATCACTGCTTGCGTGGGCGCGGTCATGTCATCGGCATTGTGAATTCAATAGACACTGGCTTTGGTTCAAGGCTCACTGTTGAAGTTCTGTAGTAGGCGTTGAATCTGAACTGCTCGTCACAGCAGCTGGCAACATCCATGTGCAGTGTGCAAAGGCTCCGGCTTGATGGCAT